AAACCTCTTCGTTCATTACAGCCTTAGCATTTAAAATGCCTTGCTAGAATGCATTACTACTTTTTATGACCACTCAGTTAATTTTTTTACAGAACTAAGGCATTTCTCTTTGAGATAATAGTTTTGCTGTCTGTCTGCAAATTTTTTTAAAATGGTTAGCACGAATTAAAATTACATCATGAAATATCAAGTCACTGACTAGAAACCTGTTGGAGATTTTAACATTACCCATGACAACTTAATTACTATTACATTTGTGAATTCTATTTACTCAGCTCTGTCCACATAATCACTATTCCACAATCACACAGCATCATTGTTCATTATAACAACCCATCACTCAAATTTAATCACTTAACTCGGCGATCTAAGTTTGCCAGTGCATCTGAACATACACTCGGCTTCTGCTTTGACCTCAGCTTTTGCTCGAACCTTTGGCTGAGACAATGTCTTGCTATTTGACGTGCTAAAGAAGGCGTGTCGATTATTTACGCTCGGGAATTTGCATATACGTACCAGGCAAAACGTAACAAAACCTTTCCCGTTTGCTGCCCTAAAAGGACAGAAATAAACTCTCCTTGCATCTTAAATGGCTGCGATTGTACTCATTTACCAATAACGAGCGCGTAACAATATTTAAGGATATTTTGCTTATGATTCAGTGTTAAATAAGCAGGCCACAACTTCCTATAGCGAAGTAAACTCAACTTATCCAAAGATGACGAAAGAAACGACCCAGTTGTTTTGTTTTCGGTATATTGATAGAAATTATTCCGAGTCTCATTAATGTAAAAAATTGGTGACCCCAGAATTCCATTAGCCTTTCTTTGCCTAGTAACCCATAAATAGATTTTTTGTAGCAGAGAAGATGGAAAAGCAAAGGACTATGGGTTCGGCATCAGAAATTAAAACTTGATTTTTTTCAGAATTAAAAGATTTTGACAGTAAAACGTAATGACAAAAGGGTGAAGAGTGTACGAAGCTCTAAAATAACCCCGCTTTTTGCTCACTGTGTAAATGCTGGTGTGTGGAGATAAGTACCACAAAATTGAACTTATTTGGGCAAATTTATTCCAGACAGCAAAATCCAGTTTTTAATGAATTGGAACATTCTTGGTGTTGTGAAACCGTTTGAGGTAGTATGATGGTGATGACACTTAGCACACGACACCACCATAATGAAACAATCATTGTTAATAAGTCCTGTATTACGTTTTTTGTTTTCTGTCCCTCAGTAATCCATTTGATTCCTTCATATAACTACCGTGAACGTTTAATTCTAATTTAACCTCCGTCAGGAAATAGGCTAAGTGGCAAGACAGAACCAGTAAACAGTTATTCCTTAAATGTAATTAGACGCTGCAGATTTATGGATAAAGCCAGTCCATCCAAATACGAGGGAACTTGGCTTTTCCAGTTTAATTTTTAATAAGGCAATTAAGTGGAGCAATTATTCTCATTCTCATCCTTAATCCAAGTTGAAATCATGTTTGTTTTCACTTGAATATCTCCCAAAATCCTAAAAAAAGATCTCACCTAATGCGTTGATAAAATTGTGTAAATGTAGTAGTATAAAATATCCAGACTTTTAGTACACATACTTGCATTTTTGTGGGCATGCCTATCTGTTCAGGATGCTCATTTAAAACATAATTTTTAAGTCAAATTGCTTCTCGCTTGTCAATACAATGCATGCATCCAAAATATGCACATGCATATAGCAACTTAGAACGGATTTCCTCTGTACCTGAATAGGGGAGTAATGCCTTGTGAAAAGTAAAGCTAGCGCCACAAAATTTATTTCGATATATTCCAGCCACTTTACCCACTGCAAAACCAGAAATACCGTCAGGTGCCCTAGGCGTAATCTATTCGAGATCAGTCCTACCTCTACATATTAAGATGCCTTAAAAGAGGCAGTAATTTCATAGGTTTTTACAAGTTATTTATTTGACTAACGCAAAAGAACTTAGTGTCGAAATTAAGGTCACATATTTTTTTAACGTTGAGGTTGCAATAACGTGGAGAAGAGAAGGAAAACAAGTTAACCTTGCTCCTACTAAGTAAGCATGATTTCACCGATGAGATAAGATAATCCCTTACGGTTCTAATAAACATAACTTGGATTTGGTTTGTGAAAAATGTAAATACATGTCAAGTCAAATCTATGAGAGGGAAAAGTTGGAAGCAGCAATGAGCTTGCAGTTGTTGATTCCGGCACCTATAATATCCATCGGGCACTTTCCTCCGTCCTCAGTCGAACGCTTTACTTTTGCTATCATGGCTTTGACAAAAATTTCGTTACAATCGCGCAGATGTTATTTCTGTGTTGAAGATGTGCGGTTGTTCACAGGACCTCAATATTACATTAAGACTTGCGCATAATTTAAAATTTTTAAAGACTATGCGTCATTACGAATAAAATTAAAATTTTTAACTGAATTGCAAAATACCAGTGCGCACTGCTTGTGTAGCCACCACTTGTGCCCCGTGATAAGGAAAAATTTGCTACTAAATCCGTGTATTTTTCAACCGTATAAATCCTTTTGAGTAACCATTGTGTGTCTCGAAATTCAGTTTACATCTTCATAAGAAAGGTGGAATTTCCTGAAAAAATACATCCACCTTCTCAAACTCAAAAAGGCAAACTCTCTCAAAAATAACTTGTACAGTTTCATCCAAAAGGCCTAGTAACAGGTCCAATGAGGTCATTTACATATTATTAAAATAAATATTGACGCCATATCTAAATGTAGGTGATCCAATGGGCTGGTTAGGGATCGAGTTGAACATATTAGATTGGAAGAGGATAGTGGGAGAAAAATGTAAAGATTAATCACGCAAAAGGCATAGTTTTAAGAAATCCTGACTACTTCATGTATTCTTTCCTTGTTGAGAAAATTGAGCGGTCTTGCGATTTGCATCCGAATTTTCGGGTTGAGCGTTTGCTGTCAATGCGGGCAAATTCGCCCAGTGAGGTGTCCCCAAAATTTGGCTAAGTCGTCATAACTTTTAGCATAAATCTTCCATGCCGACACACGACACTTGTACATGGGAAATGTTGAACGTGTGTCGGGACAGTCACCACGAGTGCAAAACCTACTTTTGCTTATAATAGCTCTCGGGTTTTGTTGTGTCCATCACGCACCTTTTAGTTATTCGGAAAGGTGAAAGACTGGAATACTGTAAATCAAAGTCATAGCCTAGTAGAATAAGCAGCTGCAAACAGATTCACTATAAAGTGTGGGGAGGCATGCATACATTGGAGCCAATGAAAGTGAACAGCGGTCAGTGGCCTATAATCTGTGGAGATCGGTGTCCATGACGGGATTAGTGGAAAAGGCATAAAACTAAGACAGGGGCAAAAGTGTTCTTCATAATCAATCAGCGCAGCTGCGCCAGCAAAAACGATATAGATACACACATGATAGTTTCTTTCATGACTCCAGAGAAGGCTTGAGAGTTAACGAAACTGCTGTCAACAGTAAATTTGTGATATAATCGAATAGAAAGCCATTGAGTACATGTCAGACAAGAAACAAGGGAGTTTTGTCCTTACGACTCTCAGCAATGATTCATCAGATTTAAACCTGAAATTCGTGAATTACATTTAAAACAGGCACATTTTATAAAAATTTAAAGATCTCAAGTTTTCCATGAAACAAAATGACATTTAATGAAACTGTTAAATGGATATTTGGACTATTAAATTTCAGAGGAGGACATGTAAATGCTCAATTATAGCACTTAATTTATTTCATTAAATGGCATGGGCCTTGTTAATAAAATAAAAATATATAATTTGCTCCCAAAATGCTTCACGGATTTAGCTTTTTCCGAAATGAAGAAGTTGTAAGGCGAATAGTAGGGCCAACATGGAACAGATTATAAGGATTCCAAAGGAAACCAAATAGCAAATCGAGGTTTGTGCAGAAATTTTGCAAGCTGGTGACCTTTTAAAGTAAACTGTTTGTGTTTAGGGATAGGCAATATGAAATTTTGTTAAATGTGGAGCAAGAGAAAAAAATTTGCACAACAGACGTTATGATAATATTCCTAAAGGAGGTTTAACGCAGAAGCTGAGAACAGATGTATTGTTATGTGGACAAAACAGGTTCGAATAACATAAAATCTGAAAATCAATTTAAATAAACAAGATTCACAACAGAGGAAAGAGGATAAACATCGTTAATATAAATATATATATTAGTACTATCGTTAACAGCAAATGACCACACTGATTCAAAGACTACTGTCAGCTGCGCGCATTAAGTGAAGCCCCAGCCATAATTGCTTTGTGGTAATATGTCTTCATTAAAATCAGCTTTTGTTCCAATCTACGAAAAATTTAATCAAAATTCAGCAATTCCCAATGACATGTTAACATAGGGTTCATTCAGCTCTGACAATGACTCAAAACTTTTACAAAAATACTTGACAAAAAAGGAAAAATAAAAATACATCCAGGGCATTATTTTTGTGGTTTATTCACAATTGACACATTTGATATGCTAAATGGAAAATTGATTAATAATAATAATAATGGAGTAAAAAATGATCTCCATTGTGAAGCGTCATTGAGTACACATTTTAGGAAAATAAATCCATACTGCTTGACTCTATTTGCAAGAAAACAATTACTTTTTTTTAAATTGGTAAAAAAGGAAAGGCAACAATTTTGCTTTAATAATTGATTAATGTCAAGGAAATATTTTGTTCTGCATGTATAAGTGGAAACAACTTAATATTACAGTTATTTTCGTAATAGTTACTTTAATATGCGAAAAAATACTGAGTCCTATTAAATAGATCAAATTTTCCAAAAAGGAACAATGATGTCAATTCAATTCAAGGTCAACTAGAGTCAATCAAGTACGCCATTGGTTTAGATTGTATTGTGTGTGATTCTCGTGTACGGTTATTAAGTTCTAATTACTAATCGTGGAAATGGTATCCGTTTTCTTAAATAATAATCCTTTTTTAAGCCAACCGATATTGAAATGGAGTTCGAGGCGAAAGAAGAGTTAAAAACGAAACGGCCTGAACTGCAGAAAATATCAAAAGTGACGGTTCATCCCCTCGTTCTCCTTGGTGTCGTTGATCACTTTAATCGTATGGGTAAAGTCAGTGGAGGTCAGAGGCGCGTGGTTGGTGTTTTGCTTGGCGCATTACGCGGGACTGTTCTTGATGTCAGCAACTGTTTTGCTGGTAAGCTGTTTATATTTTAATTAGCTTTAGTTCCGTTTGAGGAGGATACGGCAGATCCTAACGTCTGGTTTCTTGACCATGATTACCTGGAGAACATGTTCTCCATGTTTAAAAAAGTGAATGGTTTGTTTCTATACATACTTATTTGGTTTAGCTCGCGAGCGCATTGTTGGTTGGTATCATTCCGGTCCGAAGCTCTGTACAAATGACATAAAAATAAACGAACTTTTCAGAAAGTACACACAGAATTCTGTACTCGTCGTTGTTGATGTTAAGACAACCGAAAGTGATGGGATTCCGACAGAGGCCTACATTGCTGTTGAAGAAGTACATGACGTAAGCGATTTATCGTTTTTTTTTTCATCTTTCCTCAGCTGCTTGTGTTACTATAAACACAAGGTTCTTCGTTTGGTTTTCTTGGCTATATTCTTTCCTTACTATATCTCAATGGTAGATACCTTTTCAACTAGCAATTGATGTTTTCCACTCCTGCATCTATTCATCCGTTTTTACTTGCACCATTGAGGTATTCAATCTCACTAGTCCGATTTTACTTCAAAGATCAGTTATTGGTCTTGTAATCAAAAGGAACGTGGTTTTGTATAATTTTTTTTACTTTTGCATTCACACTTACTGAAATAAGAAAATGTTTTCAGCCATGTTGGTGCTTCAATACATCGCCGTGTTGGATTAAGCAATTGGAAAAACTAATCGAATCAATTAACACGTCATGTGTAGTATTAAAATAAATTCAAAGGTTCAACTATATGTAAATAATATAAACCCTCATCCCGCCTCAAAATTTTGTGATTAGGATCCTTTGCCCAAATGGTCATATCGTTATTTTATGTCGTTGCATCAAAAAACATGTAAATATTTGATGCTAATAAACGTAGTCTATTCTTTCTGTCGTCAAGTAGTAAAATCGTGTATTTTAGAGTACCCATGAACAAGCAGTTCCTTCTGTATTCTTGCATTATTGTCATAACATTCAAGATGTATAAAATGCGCACATCTTAAGCAATTCACACAAAATACTCTTTGTATGCTCATATTTAACACAGGGGCCTCCATTTTTGGCGCCTGTTATAGCGTATTAGTAGTTGGCATGAGTAGGTTGGTGCCCACCACTTATCACGAGAGTAGCGTGACTTGAGACTGCATAATTCATGTATCAGGTTCCTCTGATTTCCTTCGCAGTATTATTAGTCCGTAATTGTTAGTTCTCTACGACAAATCCTTTGCCTAGCATGTACGACTCCACTTGTCTGTTAACTTGTGATGCCTTACTATATACGCACCACACATGTGAAGTCATCAAATTCATGATTAAGGTTCACTGCCTTCGCAGTGCGACTCATACGATGATGTCAGCTACAAATGTAATTCGGCCACGTATCCAGCTATTGTTGGTATTTTAGGATGGAACTTCGACAACCAAAACGTTCGATCACCTGCTGTCAGAAATCGGTGCTGAGGAAGCAGAAGAAGTGGGTGTGGAACACCTACTGAGGTACCAATCACGACTCAAATTATAGCATGCAACCGTGCATGAGACTACTTAACACTATTTTGATTTCTTAGGGACATAAAGGATTCTTCATTGGGTAGTCTATCACAACGAATCGATGCTAAGGTGAGCGGCCTAGGTGGAATGCTTCGCCAACTGGAAGAAATCCAAAGTTATCTTGAATTAGTAACGTCTAAACGAATCCCAGTGAATCACCAAGTGATGTACAAGCTGCAGGATATGTTTAATCTCCTGCCTGATGTTCGCATGCAAGAAATGGTTCGATGCCTCAGTATGACTTCAAACGACCAGATGCTGGTCATATACATGGCATGTACCATACGTGCAATTCTCGCACTTCACGATTTAATCAACAACAAGCTGACAAATCGCGAAACTGAACGTAATGAAGAGGAAGTAAAGAAAAGCAGCAAGCCAACTGTGACTGGCGATCATCCAAAGGAAGACGTTATTGAGAAGGCAACAGAAAAGAAACCGTAGGCCTAATTCTGTTGTCAATGTTCGCGAGTTTGAGTAATTTGGAGAAAAAAATAAAACCCTACTGATAATGCTGGGCTTTTTAGTCGAAATCAGTCTACCGCAGTTTTTCGCGGACTAGGCTCAAGGGACATTTAGAACACGGGGGATGGCTGGCAGAATTTAAGTGCCGCATATGCGCCTAGCAGGCGTCATAGTCTGTCAATTCCATGCTTTAAAACCCGTTGGTTGTAATTTGAACAAGTACTAGCGCTGATTCAGTGGGATATGACATGTGTCTGGATCCAGAAAGATGCGCACGACGCACGTCACCTGCAAGGCGCCCGTGACTCCGGCTGGTTGTGAAGTAATGGCAAGAGTGTGAATTGATTGATGTCTATTCTTGATTCATTAGGCCTTTAGGAGTAAGGCACGGGGTTTCATCAACAAGATGCCAAGTAATGTCCAGCTCTTCGTTAATTAGTAGCTTTTTCTATTAACTATTCTGAGAAATGAACATGAAAACGGTAAATTGTTGTCAAAATTATCTACCAAACTTGAGGGCTTTCCTTAGTGGGATATGCCGCGTCAAGTCAATGAGCAGATTAGCATCATCGAAAGTACCAGGGGCACCTGCCACACAAAACCAAATCCTGACAATATCATGAGGAAGCTATAAAGAAAGCCATGCTAGTGCATAGTAAATATGAGAAGATTCATGAAGATTGATTTTCAGAGGTGTCAACAGTGGGTAACACAGAATCAGGGAGCATTCTTTCAAAAAAGGCGGGTTGGTAGGATGAGTTTCGCTGAAAGGGTAATTTGTTACGGGTCCCGCAGCCTTCGCAAATCAACACCAATCCCATTTTGTGAAGTCGAAGACGACAAGTTGTCCGGGAATCTAGTATAAGATGACATCCTCGACATATCGATCGACGCATCACAGGAGATAACCGAACTCGTGACTTCTTGGCTAAATACAACAATTGCTTGATACAACGGCGGCATGCTAGGTAACTGACTTCACGTTCTGCTTCCCCACGCGCGTTTATTAAAGGATAAATGCATCCATGGGCTTGTCTGTACAGTATGTTAATCTGCTGATGCACTGGTGTGACTACAAGGTATCCTTCACAAACCTACAATAACATCAGGAAAGTACATAACGCAAGAGCAGACGTTAATTCAAAGAAGGAATTAAAATATCCCATTAACGGAAGATAACGGTGCTTACTTTAAGCATTTCAGCTTAAAACTTAACTGTACCGCAAATAAATGCATAAAGTGTCTACCAGCCGTACTGATACTGATTTGCAATCTCCCGGCAAGATTTACCCATGACAGACTGTGGACCAAATGCGAACAAGGAAGACTAACAAGACATTAAGTACAGTAAAAAAAACTTCGAGTCAATTCATAAAAGGCACCGAAAAATATAGAGTTGTGTGACATTTCGAAGTACTTGGTGATTAGCACAAGCCAGATTACAAATTAGACACAAAATTCCACAAATAGTTACCAACGATAAAAACCACCAGAATAGCCTGATTTCGCTACATAGGTACAGATCATACTCCTCGCGGACAGATATTAGACAACACGAAGCAAAACAAGCCAACGTATCAGAATTTGCAGGCGCGTGCACGAATGATAACGTCATTAAATATATAAAAGTGGAATCTTAGATCCAGAAAAACGCATAACCTTAAACGGTCCTAAGAAATATGTCACAACTGTTCCCTTACCTTGACCATAGAAGATGACGCCAAACTCAGTAACAAAAGAGGGCACCCGGTACCTAAAAAGTCCATACTTTGCGGCTAAATAAAACACACGTTAAAACAAATGTTTATGTACTATTGAAATAAAAATTTTGAAAAGAAATATATTTATAACTCTTTAATATGCATGTATTGATATCTCTCTGGATTTAACCCGCCAGCTTCTGCCTTTACCACCAGCCAATCAAATATAGGTTAACAGTTAAGTCTACTTTTTGAATGTCCGGCGTTGTCTCTCGCACAGTGATCTACACTGACATTCCACATGGATTTATTGATATACTAGAATCTTTGGTTGGTCTGGTTGCCTTTCAGTGTGGTTTTCAGTTCATCGAACAGCCATGCCTCCCAATACTTACCAACCTACTTGTTTCGTGTAAGCAACTGTGCTTGTCTTCGTTTTTCTCATTACTAAAGCAGCATCGTTTTTAACAAAGGCTAGTTTTCTGTTTTTATCGTTGGACCTCACATCACCCAATGAATTTTGGCTTTGTTGCAGTTATCGAAACAATTGCAACGAAAGGTCTTGCTTATGCCGAATCTACGGGCCGAACCAAGGTAGTACTTAATGATTTGGTACTTGCCTTTGTTGATTTCGGATTCGATCTCAACCGCCTACTTGATCATGTCAGGCACGTTTCACTGCGTGCCTTTAAAGATCGTAAGTTTTTTCCCTTTTATTGTCCATTTTGAATGGGTCTCTGCACGCATTAATTGACACATCGTAAATGCTATTAATTTTTAATGGGTTACCATTGTGACATAAGCCACAAAAATACTTTACGAAACATTAATGGCAAATTTCTTAAAAATTCTGAATACCCTACGCGAGACAGTTTTATAAAAATGCTTTAAATCAATGTTAATGTGTGCTTATTTTTCTACTCAAGAATGTGAATTTATTTAAAAGTCTGGATTATATTGTTGCAAAGCTCTACAAACTGAAAATCTAAGTTGATTTTATAACGTCCGATTGATCGGAATCATGCTTTACTGATTTGCCTTGGTGCTGCTCTCCCATTGACTTCAAGTATTCCATGTGGTTGAGCTAGTTTTATTTGCTTGGGCCAAAAGCTAGTGTCATGAACCCTAATCCCATCTCTTTATCGTCATGAAAGGACACACGTTGTGTAAATATGTTCTTTTTAGGCTGTAGCGGTTGGTTGCTATTTGTACGACTAAGTTTGTAACGCAAACCGTACAATTTAACGATCGTTTTATCGCTTTTCCATAAAGCTAGAGAAATTGGTGATCCGGTGACACGCGGTGTGACCTGTAAGCCTATCATCGGCCCAAGTGGTACCGCTGCTATCCCACGTGCAGCGAGTCTCCTAGCAGACAGCAGTAAAGCTGTTGGAGGAGCTGGGGCAGGGAGCTCCTCCGGAGGGGCTACCGGTCATGTTGGTGGAACGTCTACCTCTCAGACTGTACCAAAGGCTCCCGCTCACCTTTTCCTTCCTCCCCTTCCTGAACCTCACACATATCTCGCTTCGAAAGTGACGCGCCCTCCGCCCGCGCAAAATCTTGCTGCCCTCCGGCGTCAGATGATTGACCAGCGCCGAAAAGTGCAACTTTCTCTGACGAAATTCCTCTCTCGTTTTCGCAACGTCCACCACCTCTTCCCTGGTGATCCCGAATCATTTCCTAGTGAGTTTATGACTTTGTCATTTTATATTGAAAATGACAACTTATTACCATTCGCCACCGCGGGTTTTCAACTGTCGGGGTGGAGACGCTCCTTTTGCCCTCTAAGTTAAAAAAAAAGGATTTCAGTATACATTATTTGCGAACAATTGGCTGTCAGCGAACGATAAGCAAGCAGATAGATAGTATTACTCCCAATTTAGACGTGCTGTGCACTTTTACTTTGTCTTTTAGTTCTAATGCCCCAGACTTCAAGTAGACCGCATCTCACGGCGCTATTGGCTGACTCCCTACCTGAATCGCAGGAGGGCAATGTAGAGGTTACGGCACCCACTGATCTGAGTTCAATCAAGCCTTCATCTGCATGCACTAATTTGTTCGAAGGATCGAAGGTGTCCACCACCACAAGCTGCACATCTACAAACTTTTTCCTAAGTAAGCCTGTTTTTCCAGGTGGCGAGCTGAATACCAGAACTTTTTTGTAAAGCTGTCTATTCACTTCACTCGTATGTAAATACTAACGCCTCAAACCTATTCGAAATATTTTTGTTCTTGTTGGGTTGTGTTTGTTTAGTTGGTTGCGCACTTACCTGGAGGTGTGGCTTAGCGTTCCCTGAGCGCATTTCGGATAATTCGCTTTTGTGTTTGATAAGCTGGAAAGTATATCCCACTGTTTAATACAACTAGATGCTTTATGGTATCCTTTGTGTAAGTCTTTTTTCATACACACTTTACTCCTACCATGTGCTGATGGCAGTTGTGCAGCATGGACCAGAACTCGCGCATAGTGTATTTTCTTAACTCCTGAATTTCCATAGCATTGATTCGAATAAAACAAAAAAATCTGATTCAGCAGAGTTCTGGCAACCTTTGAAATAACATCATTCATTAGGCAGCGACTCAAGATCAGGTCAAATTCCTAAAAAAATCAAATCCGATAGTGGTGCGGCTTTAACGCAAAGCACATATTCTTTGGGTATTTGTCTACAACTATTGAGACGGCTAACAGTTACGCAACTAAATGTTTGGACTTGTTTCTTGTGCCATTTAAAACCAATTGCACGAAATATTTTGTGATTTTTTGATGCTATATTGATTGCTTCACTCTCATAAACGCCTTTCCCAGAATGTATTAAAGGTCTGGGGATGCACGTGCGTGCGTTATAGATTAAATTAAGGTCGCCTACTTGGCTTGAAGCATTCACATAGTTTTACAGCTTATTCGCATTGTGAAGATATCCATAGCCTCAAAAAAAGTAATTTATTTTGTGGTTAAACTGCTATAATGGGTTCCGTAGTGCTCATTTACGGTACTGTATACTTTTGTACTCTCATTTCACCATTTTACTCGCCGTTTTATGCTCAAAATTGTGGCCATGCCACATCATCATTGGCCTTTGCCACTTGAACACTTCAAAACCCTACATGCAACCCTACCTCTGAAAGATACGTTACCGATTCTCTCGAAGCAACCTTCAACTACTGCCAGACAGTTTATCTACTTGTTGTCCTGTCTTGCCAGGAAAACTTATATTTTAAGTAAATTTGGCCCGGCCGTGAGCAGTCCCCAAGAGGATTACTAGACTTCGGAGATTTTATTGGGCCTGTCAGAACTCTAATACAACTCGTACCAATAACATAGCCATGTCCAATTTATAGCAATGACGCTTCGAAAATTTGTTGAAGTCACCATTCCCCAGGTTTGGTCCATGATGTGTGTCGTTTCGAAAAAAAATTGGTCTGTTTTTAAGAACTTGTCCAGCTAGCTAAATTTTGATTGACTCAGGTGAAATTTGTTGATGCTCTCGCAGTTCATCTTAGTCTTTTTGAGTATTGCAAAGCTACGATTCATTTTGAGATCAGCGCAGTGGTCTGATGACCAGTTTTTAATGTGAAGCGCGTGGATTTTCTTGGAAACCTCTCAGCTCTCTAGGCTAAGTGTTTATGGCTACTACCAGTTTGAGAAAAAGGCAACAATTTCGCTTATGGAAATTCCACCTGTGGTTAATAAGTGGATCTAACTTTAAAAAAATGCTGTTGCATTACAATCATGGATTACGATATGCGAACATCTGAATGACTTTGCCTCGTAGTTTGGGGCTGTGCGTTCCATTACGACTTGTGGTAGTCTCGTTTGTACCTGATCGATCGGCGCGTTCAAATGGCTTCTTGCAAGTGTGTCGGTGTGCCACTGAATGGATTTGTGCAAAGCTGCGCAAATTTTGCCGAAGTACGCCCATGGCCATCAATCCCGGTGATTCTCGTCTACCCCGATACCTCGAGGGGATAGTTCAGCCCATTTGGCGCAAGCAGTCCCGTTCTCAGGGTCTCGCCCTCTACCTCCTTCACAGAGATTATTGGTCCGACTTTGAGCAGCAATATAAACGGAGAAAGCAAAACCCCATTCAAAACCCACCTGAGTGCTCAAATGTCAGGGAAAGTGATTGGAAGCCTGGATTTCGTCCCGAACACAATGGCATCGTCGAGGGTATTGTTCATGTGAACCCGTGGGTGGTCAAGTGTGCTTCGGTATACGCCGAAGTCCAAGCTCGTTATCGTTTCGATCGGAGTGAACTAGATGCTTACGATTTTGAGAATGATGAGATTGTCTACTCAGCTAAAGTTTTACTCAATCCCCCGCCATGTGGTTTTGATTCACCTACGTGTTTTGCAACTCCCCCCAAAGATATGCACCGTTACAGTGCAGAGCTTCGTCAGCTGTACCAAAAACTGGGTGGCCCCTGCGGTTCCGAACCACTAAAATACGAAAACCTCTCTACCTCGGGCGTTTTGCATGGAAAAGCTTTTCTTAACCGTATGCAACACACGTTTGTTCCGCACACCGAGGCAACAGTGCCATCGGGGTACCCGGATCATCCCTACGTGACTTATAACTTTCCTTTCCGTTTTGACATTAACAATGGCCCCGATTCTATCATGATCAAATCAAACAAACCAGCTCCAATGGGAAATCGCCCATTGCCGAAAACCAGGCGTGAACTATATATCGATGCGGTTTATGGGTTCCCACAATCGGATACTGATAGCGACCCAGAAGCCCCGAGTTCATCAGAAAGTGAGTCAAACTTCACCCCACCCATACGTCACCCCTGTGATCCAATCAAAGTGAGGCACGGAATAAGGAAGATTGACCTAAGAAAGCAGTCTTACAGGGATAAGTTCCATGCTGACTCCTATCCATGGCACCCGCGGCCAAAGATTCCTCCCAAAGCAGGAATTTCCTGGTTCGTTCGGGTGTACGCGGTACCTTCTCAATCATCAAAAGAAAGAGGCAGGCATCTTGCTGAGCTCAAGATACGCAAACTGACATATCTTCCAATGACTATTCCTATACATCACAGGCCGCCACCGAAAATTTCTGTTGACTACTCGCTGGCCGTCGGACCCAGGGAAAACACCGACGCTGGTGTAATCACGCTAAATGCAAAACTGGACAAACTGGTTTATGGGCCTGGTGATCCGATCATTGTAAATATCAAAGTACATAACACATCCAACCGAGTAATACAGCAAATAACGGTTGAAGTTAGTCAGTGCATTCGCGTTAATTCCTTGTATAGCAAAGCTTGGAGGAACACGATCTGCCGGCGCGAAATTACAGCTGAGAATTATCATGCGCAAATGCCGATATTGCCAGCCACAGAACAGCTTCGCTTGAGCTGCCGTCTAAACCCATGGCCCAAAGAAGAACAGTGTAGGCACCTGTTCAAAGATGAACTTCACAAGCGACGCCCTTCGCGAGTGCCAATTGAAGAGGAAGCCTTTACTCTACGCATGCCAACGGATCCGGGGATACTTTTCGCTGTTCAACGGCCAGGTCGATATGAAAAGTTCCCCCAGACCTTCCTTCTTAAGCGCAAACCTGCCTTTTCTACTTTGCGTGGAATGCTGGAACATTTTTTCGAAGAGAGCAGGCTTTCAATTATGAATCCTTTACCACCGGAAATAAAGAACCCCTTCGATGGAGATCCCTACGGGCGATGTCTTTGCTTTAAAGGGCCGGAAGAAGAAAGCGCAAGTAACCGTTGCGCACGGATGCCACCGGATGAGCCCTATCAATATCCTTTATATATCGATAATGCAACTTCGCAGGAGGAGGAAACGAAATACCGAAAAGCAGTCCAGCAAATGCTGGCACCACTTTGTGGCCGCTGCAAAGGAAGTCGCCAAACAGATGAACAGCCCATTTATGTCAATTACGAGGTTGTTGTCACTGCCGTCCTTCGACCACAAAACACCCCCGATCCATTGGCCCATGACAGACTTCTAGAAGAATGTAAGCTTGGTTGCGGCCTTTTGGACCCACCCAAAGGGCGCCTGGAAGGTGTCAGTGGACCGAGGGCATCGCTACCGGTAATTTTTGCGCTGATGAGGCCCGAACCAGAAGAGCCAGTACCTGTAGCTAACTTTAATGTTGACGAGAGACAAAACAAACATCCTACGATTCCTCCGAAGCCAAAGATGTGGGAGCCTAGTGACGGAAAAGGCTTCCTTTTAGTTAAGCCACTACAGATGGCGGCACCATGCACTAAGCAAGGAAGCACGTTGCACTGCACATAAAGAGCGCTGCAATCTGAACAAAACCCACGTGCATGACCTCCGAACTAGTGTTAAAAAAATATTTCTAGTACTCTAATTTAGTTGTGGTGACTACACTAAGCACCCTTGTTGTAGAAAAAAATAGATCCTCTGAACTTAATTGGGCTGTCGTGCGTAGTGCCCAGCGTCAGGATGAACCAGGAACCCCAGTGGACTAAATACGCTGCTTTTTGAGTGTATTTTTTTCCGCTTTTATTGCGAAAATCACCTCAATCCCTAAAAGTGTTTTAGCTCTATAATTTGTCCGTAAATATGACGTTGACACATCATACCCAACTAACTGTCCTATTCTACGTCTAAAATAGTTCTAAGTGGGCTGGCAAAACGCTTTAGCCTGTGTTAGTATGTGACTGTATTTCGGGAACTAAAAGGGGAATCATCAGCTTTTATCCCTTGCTAAGTTTAAGGAGGAAGTCATCATAAGGCCACGGTAGCTATTTAGAATTTGAAAACGAGGTAATTCAATGCGAATCGAGCAATTTTTGTCATGAAATGAACAAACGTTGCGATTACATTGCTATGTATATATGAACTAGAAATGCTACAAGCTGAAAACATATGAGCGTCCAGTTACCGCGGGTTGAACATCAGCGCTCGGGTCCTGTAATCAAGCTCGCCATTGGCGATTTCATCAAACTTCCTATCCTGGAAAGGAAAATAATTTGACAATGCGAAACCGATCTCTTTGGTTTCGAAGAAAAAAACAATTCAGAGTGTATTAATCTCCTTAACTTACCCTACGATATGCAATGCCACAGTATAAGAGTGTGAAGAAACCAAAAACACAAGCAGTGATCAAGGTTCCGCGTTTGGATGGTTTTAGATATTCAGCGTAAGTAACACGTGCCGAAAACCACCGTTGCATATTTGGGTCATGCTAAAACGGCAAAAATACACAGTAAACTAAAAGATACTCCTTATGTCCTAAATAGAAAACTATACAGGTAATTTTAAATAAGCAACTTATTGTACGATGCAAAACACACAGGCTGACTGCTATTTGGTGTACTTAAAGCTGAAAAAGGTGTAAAGTAGTTAGCTTAATGTGCTAAAACAGACATTGGGCCAGTCCAAGTAAAGCAAGCAACATTCTTCGGCATTCCACCCAGTGCCACAACTGGATAAATACTGAAATATCTGACACTAATCACTGACATATTAAAGTCTCTAGAGAGTAATATAAGGACAAATTCCCGCAGAAAGGATAATCAGTAACGAATCACAGATACATAGGAATATGAAGCACGTTGAAGTACAGAATGGAAAACCACAGAATAATTGGTAATGCGCACTTGATAGAGTCTAAAGGTCCCACACGAGCGAAATCGGTCAAATAGTATAAATTAAAACGACTATACGAATTGCGGTTAAAGCTGCGAGGAAGGACGCAGCACTGTAGCCGCATTAGTAAATTACGACTGAGGCATTTAGTATCAATGGGGTGACAATTAGAAAAAAAAATAAATTGCATCATAAAGACTGATGTAGTGCCTGAACGAAAACGAACATAACAGCTGATATTACATTTGGAAACTCACAATAACGCCTTGAGGTGGCTTGAAAGGATTTGACTTTATTTTTCGATACTCTTCCTTCATGGCATCCCTGTATTTTGCGCGCTGCTTAATGGCAGCTTGTTCAGCGGGACTTTCATAATAGGTTCTCCATGGATCAAAGCCTGTTGCCGACATTATGAGGCTGTAAAAAATTGAGTAAAATGCAACATGTAAAGCGAATTTCAGGAAGGCAAAGAAGATAAACCTGGAATTCAATACTTGTAAATGAAATACCTAAGGGCAGTGACATCTGAAAGATGTACTATTATGAGACTGGGTAAAGGACAAAAAGAGCAGATAAAAATTTGGCGATGAATAAATGTAATAGCTCATTACGAGATTAAGAGGCCACTGACTGCAACGACAACTACCTCAAGAAAGGCGGTGTGATTCCCGAAGGAAAACCAAGCATACAAACAATGAAGGTATGGCGTATTACCATTTATAGTGAAACTTTAGCAACTTCAACAGCAGTTGTGTCAATCATGTAATTTTAATATTTTCAGGTTTTGAAAAACAAATTTGGTAAAACGAAGAATTTAACCCAAGATAAACACTAGTAAAACATTAAATTAATTTTTATTCAAAATAAATCCGTGCAAACTCCGGCTGCCATGTAACACAGCATTTCAATCTTCTGTTTGAAAAAGAAATTTAAGTTGAGAAATTCAATCTAACAGAGGTGCACTAATTAATAGCAGAAATCTGGCACAAACAGAACATTGCGCCCAGTTCACACATAACATTAACCCTGTTACATCGAATGTTTTTGGTTAACTTTAGGCATCGTTCTTGCATTCGAGAGGAGTTTATGAAAATAAGAATTGCAATATAGACTAAAATTTAGTCACTAACAATCGTTTTCTTAGACCATTTTTTGAGCTCACAACCTTAATTAAGCCAAATAAAGCAGTGGTCCTAGATTTAGGAACTCAAAATTTTCCTTTTTTATGGAAACTGATTTGCTGTCATATATGGATGAAATAACTGTATTTATTGTACATATTGGTGTAAAAAAGGAATAACTCAAATCTAAAATCTTAAAAAGCGTCGTTTGAACTAATAAAAGCCGCGGTGTTTCAACATTTTTATCGACCTTATCTTGTTGTCGTGTATTGGTGGCCTAATTATTATCTAGTTCCACTTTGACTACGGTAATGCAATAGCTAGTATAATTGTGCCCACTCTGATGGTATGTGTAGCATACACTTTTCTTACTCCCGTGACCTAACAGAAATCTGGTTTGCTTTTTCTATTCCATTTGTCGACAACTTGCTTTTTAATAAAGCAACGTAATATTTTTCTGCATTACCTAATGTGGTTTTAACGTCACTAATCACAACTGAATGCCCTGACATACTTCCTCTCCTGTTCTCCTTTTTTTAGTTTTAACTGGTTCTGACACAACCCTAATTTTTTGGGTATTCTTTTACTAAAACAGTCTTTGTGTTAAGGTGTTATGCTTATAAGGTCATTAAAGAAATTGATTTTAATACCCTGTCAACCTTTTGATAGACAGTTCTAAGTCATTTATTCATCGGTTTCGGGAAATATCTTCTGATAAAGAATTAATTGGTGTTTTTCCCCTTAAAGGGAATTTTTTAACTCAGCTTTTGTTAGTTTTATTTCAATTATTATTAAACTTATTTTTTTCAGTGTGTTAACTTCTCTTTCATCTCATGCAGGTATCAGTTCATGAAGACCTTTGATCAGGATATGCACGAACACAGTTGCACTAAGGTCAACCTACAGCGAAAAAAGTTAAAAAGTGCTCAAAAGCAGCAGCGACACCACATAAACCATGAGGTTTGATAATTCTTTAAGCAAATTGCTTTGCACCTTATTTGGTTCTTCTTAAATGAGAAAAATTTTAACAATTTTGCTAACACGGCTTATGTCTGCAGGCTCTCGAAACTGTACCTTATCCTTACGAGACACTAGTTGGGATTTGTTTTACATTTATTTTTTTGGCCAAGCTCTAAGAGTAGCCACTCTTTGTTCTAAATGCCTGTCGTAGTCGTACCTCCTTATTTGACACCTAGACAACTTTTAATATATTCATTAAGTCAGGTAATTGCAGACTTTCTTGCCAATGTATCAGTTTTACTTAAACTAATGGTTTATTGTTTTATCTGGATTGTAGCTTTTGTTCCCCGTGATTAAACTCTACAAGAAATGTCACAAACATTTTGATCATGAATGTCATTTTCATATCTTTTTCATTGTTTCGTAATTTTAGGCATTTAATTGGTTTTGCACTAGCAATTAGATTCCTCTCTAAGTAGTTATATTGCTGTATTTCTTCAGAATTCAGTAGTTTTGTTTTTTTTTATAAAATTATATGAAGACTAACTACTCAGACAAATGTCTTAAAATATATTTTTGCCAGTAGCTGCTCCCTGCATTGTTCCTAATCATGTTCCATTTATGTAGGCCTTTTATAGTACCTATGGGTCTACAATACCTTTTTGGACGCTCAAGAACATCTTTAATCAATTGTCCTATTTATAAATATACCACATTCCCGATGCAAAAATAGATATCGAGGATGTGGGCCCAAAATGGACTGTTAATTAATATAAGGTAGTTAGAAGCATTGTAGTTGAATTGTATTAATCGTGTTCTCCAAAATCAATCCTCAGTGATCTACTGAAATAGGCTAAAAATTCCAGACACGCTGAATCTAACTAAGGATGAAGTGTTACCAGGGTTTGGTTTGAATTTATGCATTTTTATATTTAAGATGTGTAGCCTCTTTTGTTAGGAAAGTAAGAAAGTGATGCCCTTTTTAAATTTCAACTGTACTCAAGCAAAGCAGAGCATTTGTTTTGATAAATTCTATTTAGTGAGTAATTTTCTATTTTATCCGAAAATAGGTAAATAAACATAAATTCTCATATTTTTCTTGAAACGATCTCTCTGTATTTGCTTTGGAAATAAAATTGCTTGAATCAACAGCATTTCATGGTCTGTTTATTCCACAGGGATAAATTCAGATATGAATTTGAGGATATTTAATTGATGTTAATGACTAAAATATACTGCAGCTTTTCTTTTTTGCCACCTGCCTGTGGTTTAGATGCAGAAACCATAAAAACATTTCCTAAATGCATTTATTTTACGTGAGATCTCAGACAACTACTGCCCTAAAAATTTAGGAACACAACTGGAGCCAGGAAAATATTTGTAGAAGACGTTTGCGTAACAAGTGGGATGATTATCAGGACGTGGAACTAAACCTCCGACAACTAGATGATGAAAAAATTAAGTCAATGCCGCCAAGTTTTTGGTAGGAATAAGCTTATATTTTTTTTACCCAAATTTATTCCTTTTAAACTCGGTCTTATTTAAACACACCAGTGTATTTTTTCACAATGTTTGGTTCCAAAGAACATGAAGGAACAT